CACGCAGGCCACGCTCGAGGCCAGGATTGCTGTCTCTGGCGAGGGATATCTCCAGCAAGCGAACAGCTAAAGCTTGGGCATGGAAGTTAGCACACAGCCGGGAACCGCAACAGTGTCTCAGCAAATCCTGGCCTCTTGAGTCATGTGCCCTCAGGTCCATTAGCCGCCAGTGCAAAGCCGCTCAGTCCTTAAATTTGCCGGCCTTAGATACAGCAGACGCTCAACCGCAGAGGCTTTGCAGATGTCCAGACTGGGCACAAAGCCTTGGGAGGGCAAAATCGGAAGGATGTTCAAGCAATGCCTATGCTTCCGCTGCTGCTGCTGCTGGTGTTGCGGCTGCTGCTGGCGATGCTGCTGACTCTGATGTGTTCTGATTACCTTTTCGTTGTCATCATGCTCGGGGCTGTCTCTTAAGTTGGTGTCCCTTCTGTTGCTGATGCCGCGGTTTTAGAAATCTCATCTTTTGGGTTGATGATGACAAGGATGCGTTCAATGTCGTTGGTGAACCTTCGGGTGCTGAACACTGCGCTTGTCAGCGAAAGGAGTTGCCCTGGCACAACATGCAGTTTATCAGCCTAGAAAACCGAACAGCTGGGTCATGCCGCATCTCTCAACAACGCCGAGACAATGCATGACCACCCGCCCCGAAACATCACACCCGCCTTGCACATGTTGATGAAGTCGGCATAGTCCTTCGGAGTATCCTTCAGATTCAACGCCGTGGCAACCTTTCCGCCTGAGGGCATGCTCCGCATACGTCCACGACAAGCCTACAGTAAATGCTGGCTCCCTTGTATGTAGTCTTTGCTCTGGGGGCTACATAACACTTGGATTGAAAGACTAAGGCGCCGCCACAGCATGGCAGAGGAAGGTTGACTACCAGGGCCTAGGTCGTTGAAAGGAGACACATGGACAGAACTAGAATGTACAGATGTAGACAGCTCTGGAGGACGATGCTCGACAAACCGTCAACAACTCATTTCCTTCCGCGTCACATACACCTGTCATCTAAGGGGGCCCAAAAGAACTGCACAGCTCACACCATCACCAAACCAAAAAAGGGACGAGATGCAGTCTGCACCTGCCGCGTCCCAGGCCGCCTCCAAGCCATTCGGACATGGCTTGTCGAGCTTACTATCTGGTTGATGTGCCTTTTCCCCGGGACATCGTAGGGGTCTCAGACCTCGAGACACTAATTAGATAGTATGTGTGAGTGTCGTAGTACCACCATAACCTCAACCGCCGAAGCGAAGAAGTCGATCAGAAACATCGTTATGGCGTCGTGAGTACCAGTAGCATCAGCACAACAGGGAGCATAGCACCATGCACCACCACCAGCAAGCGAAAACTAGCACCATCAAGAAAACTATCTACACGTCATTGCCCCACCCCCCACCCCCCACCCCCGCTCCACCACTGCTACAAACAGAGATGAACAAATCCCAAGGCCGAACGATCTCACAAACTAAACGTCGTCCCCCCACCTGCCCCACCCTCCCGACACCCAAGACCTGAAGACTCTGAAAATACGGTCTTTAGCTTCAGGAATTAAGGCGTGCACGTGGCAAAATGCTGTGTGCGAAGTCCGGCACCCCCCAGGAGAGTAAGCCGCTGTCTCAATCATTGGCTTTGCCAAAGTTTTGAGCTCCTTACCATGAAAGAGCTTTAGGCCGTTGCCTTGTAGGGTGTTTCGTCGAAATCACCGCCCTCCTTGGTCGTCACCTTTTTCAGCTCGTCAGCCTGTCAGATGTATAGGTCTAATTGCACAGCCTCAGTGGAGCGAGCTCTGGGCAGTTCAGACTCCTCAATCTTCGGCTTGGAATCTTGTGCACCAAGCGCTCTCAAGAGACGATCGTTCCCGGAGTACAGGTCACGTGTAGGATCAGCCAACTTCAAGAAGGGACTGGTCAAGAATGCATGCCCGTGCAATCCTATTGCCCGGCCGTATGCAGCGCAGCTGCTTGCAAAGGTGGCCAAGAGAACAGCTAGACGGAATGCATGAATCCAACACCCTGGACTGGTGGACAGGATCTGTGCCCCCCCAGTCCGAAAGCATGGAGCCACTACGTACTGACAAAAAGATCGAGTGGCGTCTTGTGGCAAGTTGCTCCAAGCCTTCTTGGCGAGGTCTGCGTCAGAGGGTGCAGGCGCTGACATGCTTGTGGCCTGCTTCATCTTCGGTTCGGTTCTGCATTCTTTGTGGTTGTGGGAAAGCTGCCCGCCTCCGAAGAGACGACTGAGGATCTGGTATGGTTTTCTTCTCTTTAAGTTTGATTGCTATAGCACCCCCTGGGACATGTCCAAGCCTGCTGCAAGAACACCAACAAAATACGTCAGCTTCCCGATCTTCTGGACTTTGTAGAGTTTGGAGTTCTGGTCTGAAAATGAAACTCCAAACAACTTGCATCCGGGCCTCGCGACACAAAAAGGCACAGAGGTATGGGTCACGGCTTGACACTGCAGGCGGCTGCGCTGCCAACATGCGAACTTTGGTAATCAGCGGATGTATGTATGAATTGGCTTGTATGATCTAGATCCTAGACTAGACACAGATGTATTTGCCTCGGCCTGGACGCAGCATGCGCTCATGCTATGCCGGTTGTACTTGCTCCGCAGTTTCTCCGCACATCTGTGGTATCGGGGATTTCCGAAGATGGTATGACCGAGTACGACATAATTACATCCTGGTACTACGATTAGCCAGATGAAGCGGTGGGGAAGTGTGACCAGGGCGACCTGATAATTTTCGATAATGTTCGTGAATTTATCGATATTAGCCCTCTCTCAACTTCATCGGTGCATCTCCAACCTTGCAATCACTCGTGAAACCTTCAAAGCCCTACGACCGCATATGAGCGCATGGGACATTATACGTCTTTGGTGACTGACCATGGATTAAAGTTTAAAGCTTTCTCACCTGGCGCAAACAACTGGACTCCAAGCATAAACCGAGCTCCAGTTAGACTCCAGTCAACCATCCAAGGACTTTATAGCAGTCTCTCTGTCTTGTTCATCCTAGCATCTGCGGCGACGCCATCGTCGGCCAGGGCACCTGCGGCTTGACAATGCTCGACATATCCCTGGCATCATTTGCGGACTTGCTTGAAGGAGCAGCTGCGGTTCTCAACTGACAGATTGTCCAACTTACGTTATTGAACTCTGGTGGCACTCTTGCAACCAACGACATGATTCGAGGAATTCCTGTCGGCGCGCTCAGAACGCAACACTGCCAAACAACCAGGCAAGATCGTCAGAAATCGTCGTCGGACACCTGCATCTAGAGAGGACGCACCATCGCATGGAAGCATCGACAACCCTGCAATCTCGGCCAAGCTGCTTTTTGGACCAGCTGTCCTGCTCGCGATGGATGATCCGGACATACAGCTTCTTCCCTCGCGCAGGATTGGGTAGTTGTTAGACTGCCACGATTCAGCCCTGAGCACCGGACCCCAAACCGAATAGAAACAAAGACCTCGACCCTTTGAGCAAACATGCTGTCGCTCTTGCACTTCTTCTTTCTCTGCCTATACAACTGCTCTCTTGGTACATGTCCTGTTTTTCGGACACCGGCCGCGACCTCAGCAAACGCTTGACCAGGCTAGATATTCGTAGTGGGACTGAGAAGCTTGCAACCCTGTGTCGCAGCCCAAGCCTGCAGGTGTCCGTGCGCCACGGAGAGAGCGCGCTGCCTCCTCACACATGGTGACACTCCTGCCGGGCGAGCCCCTTCTGGCAAGATATAGCAGCACCAGTAGCAGCAGCAGCAACAGGAGTAGCAGCAATGGTAGTAGCAGCAGCAGAGCAGGCGCAGGAGCAGGCAGGGGCACACGTTCCTGTAAAGTACTAGCTGGGGTTCCGCGGGGCATAGGGTAAAGGGCGGGCAGGCAGAGAGATGCCGTTTTCATCTGTGAGTTGTTCCGGGAGATGAAGCCGCCGCCGTGCACTGGTTTGTGAAAAAAGCACGTCCTTCTGACAAAGCAGGTGTTTCGGGGCAAACCACCTGTTGACGAGATTACACTCCCTGTTGCGCTGAGCATGCCACTTGCGATTATGCTGTGCATTGCTGGTGCTGGCCTTGTTCAGCTCGCTGGCCACAATGGTTTCCGCTGCAAGAGTTCCACACGGCTACCGCAGGTTTCCACTACAGACGTCTTGAAAGCCACGACTGAGACGAGGGGAAGACACGACGTGCTTAAGCTTTCCAACCATCACCAGCATGGAGGCGACGACATAATCAACACTCCAATGATGGGCCAGCTTCAACGACGGACTGGTTCATTGGCAGTGCTGGAGGACAAGCTTTGATGATGCACGACGGCATCGCACCGCGAAGCGAAACCTGTCCAATCTTTCACTGTAGACCGGTCGAGAATCATCCTCACGCGTAGGCTGCATCGGGCTTTCATGCTGGTTCTTTGGGCGAACTCTGGAAGCCCTTAGCAAAGAAAAATTCACTTCTGCTTAGCCTTAGCCTTAGCCCTTGCGACATCGAAGCGGCTCTCGGCTCTCGGCCTGTCCTGTGCTTTCCCCAGGCGCAGCCCACAGCCTTGGTCAAACGATGCTCCACGGGCTGCCTCTGTAACTTTTAGCTGAGCTCCGTCTAATGTAAGAATTACTCCAAAGAAGTGTCTTCCCAAAGCAAAATCCACAAAGCCTATGGATCCAGCATGACCGTGTGTGTTCTGCGGAGTTCTGCTTCCTAGTTGGTGGGGCACCTTTGGAAAGGAGCAACATTATTTTCGCTGCACAGGTAATTCTAGAAAAGCTTGTAAGCACGCAGCTCGGTGGAAAAGAACGATGCCGCATGCCAGATGGAAATGCCTGGAACGGAAAGACTGGCCTGGAGCGATCCCAGCCCATGCTTTCTAAGGGCTTTCAAAATGATATGACAAAACTGCACAACTCGCCCACCCTGTCTCACGCCTTTGGTGTGTTCGGACCTGGCTCCTTCAGATATTCGAGTGCCACTGATCCTTGAGATACTGAGCAGCATGACCTGATCAGAGCGAAGTCATCGTCGATGCCGTGTGTTCGAAAGGCTTCCGGCACGTGGGGCACGATACTTGCTTCACCGACGAGAAGCACCAGCGAGCGATGCACTCCTGGTGGTAGGCGTGGCCGCACGGGAGAAGAGCAACATCTGTGTTCAAGTGATAATCATCCAGGCAACAGGCGCAGGCACGTTGGCAAGAGATTTTAGCTGGCGGCTGGCGGTCAACTGTATCCAGCTGGCGACATACAACCAAGCACCTGTTGCTCTGATCGCTGGTAACGCAGACAATGCTAAAGATTGGGCGGGCAACACATGCCTGCAGTTCTCGGAACTTGCAAGCTGCCCAAACGCAGTGGAACTCCTTCTGTGCCACGGTGACGCCGGGAGAACCAGTGCCAGCGCTATCTGCCGTCTTCGTGAACACGATGACAAATAGCAGCATGAATAACAGCACCGACATTGCTGCAGACACTCCTATCGCCCAAGATGCACCTTTGAAGATCCCCACTGACACGCTGAGAACAGAGAGGAGCATCAGGACAAGCCCCCATTGCAGGAGCTTGCGGTTGTTGCACTGAGTCGCTGCCATGGTTTGTCAGCTCCGGGGTCTTATCCCCACTGACAGCTGACCCTACCGCTGAGAAACGGCAAGCTGAACCAGCCCATGCATCAAGCGTCAGAGTAGATTCCTGCGTCACAAGAAGGCTTCCCCCAAGATATCATAAAGACCTACAATGTCAACACTCTCGTGAGTCAAGATACCACGATTCCATTCGGAGCAAACTGTCGGATCCAGCTTATACCCAAGAGTGCCGACCCTACACATCATCTTCCTGCCTGCTCCCGAAGCTGCTGCTGCGGGCGGCTGCTGCTGCTGCACTGTTGCCATCCACTGCTGCTGCTGCAGCTCGGGTCCTGCTAATTATTCCGACTACCTTGACGCGCGTTGCAGTTTCGTGACGAACTGGGCCTGTGCAACTTTGCGAATCAACTTTCGAACCAGAGCTCGCTGACATGATGTTTGTACTGGGCTCCGTATATGTCATAGTCATAGTCAGTGAATGCCCCTGCTGCTGCGGCTGCTGCTGCTGGTGCTGATGCTGAATGTCGTTGTCTTTGCGGGTGTCCGCATGGCTGCCGTGGCTGTTGCACTCACTTTCGTTGCTGTTCGTGGCGGTGCTGCTGGTGGTGGTTTGTCCTTACTTGACCCCTGGTGTTTATGCTGCTGTCTCTTCGGCGAGGATTGGTCTAGCTGTTGTATTTAAGCCTATTCTGGCAGCCAAGGTGCAATCCTCACTGGGGCGCCCTCGCTTCTCGCAGCATGATGAAGAGCGGAGGATCGGATCTGGCAACCCAAACCGTACGACACCGACCATGTCTTGGCAGACTCTCGTCATACTGCTCATAGTCGCAATGCAACCTTCGAGCCTTTCTGTAAGCAAGTGATGGTTCTTGCAAGCCAAGCTGCCCAGCGCAGAAATACTTTACTAAAGCGCCACGAAACGCTTACAACGTACAGGCATCGAGCCCAGCCTTCTCAAGCAACTCTTCTGCACCATGACAATGCATGACCTCCAGAGTGCACACATGATGGACAACCTGACAACCAGCAACAAGAGACTTGCAACCCACCGTTCCTCGTGCTTCTGTGTCCTAGACCAATGAGACCAATGTGCATGTCAAAGGCCAAGACTGGTATGTGTTAGCGATGTCTCACACGCCTCTGTGAGCGAATCTAGACTTGAACACAACTTGCTCTGGAACCAGAAGGAATCTGAGCCACAGGGCTCTCGCTGCATGTGGTTACATTGATCTGGGGACATGCAGACGTGCGAGAACGTCACATGATCGAATTACCGTCATGCCAAAGCAGTGAACTGCAGCCGTGGCCTGAACTTGGGACCCTCTTTCTTGGAAACCCTAGGTCGCTATCATGGTTCGCACCGAATCCAGCAATGAAGCGAGCTCATGGATTCCTGGACGTGCCTTCGGACATACCAATATTACTCCGAATTCTAAACTGCAGAAGTCCGAGTCCCGCCCCAAAGCCGAGCCCTTAGAATTCTCACCCGTGAACACCGAACTACTCACAGCTGCTTCGGCCTCGGAGCGCAGCCGGGCATCCAAACCTTTGGGCTGAGGACAGTGTTTCGACTCCGATTTCGTCTCACGACACGGCGGACCCAGCTCGTGCGCAGCACGGACACGCCCGTAAGCGTGTCTGCATTAAGCCTTCATTTCTTGCCGCTGCACACTCTCGCCCACCAACACGAGCCCATGAAACAAAAGTAACAAAAGCCTGTCGCTTTCACTACAGTGTCCAGTCCTAGTATTGGGTAGTAGTGGGACTCTAAAACTTTGGGTGGGACCAGTTGCCCGTCGGTGATGAGCACAATGGTAAAGTCGTGTGGCTGCACCACAGCCACGAAGATCGATCGGGCTTCTGCGTTACAAAGATTCCCAAAACTGAGGCGACAAATCTATGTTTCCCCAATCCCCAATCTTGAAACCACGGCAACCTACGCCCCTGCCTGTGAGATGCCGCCTGGGACCACGGTCTGGATTTTCCAAACCTGGCCGCCCCGTCTCGAGCCCCAAGCTGCTTTTCCGAAAATACATAGGGACATAGGGTCGCGAGGATAACTGCTACCGCTGCCGCTGTTGCTGCTTCTGCTTTGGCTACTGCTACTGCTACTGCTACTCCTACTCCACACAACAACAACAACAACCACAACCACAACCACAACCACAACCACAACCCCAACAACCAACAACCAACAACCAACAACCACCACAACCACAACCACAACCGCAACCGCAACCGCAACCGCAACCGCAACCGCAACCGCAACCGCAACCGCAACCACAACCGCAACCACCACGACGACGAACAACAACAACAACAACAACAACAACAACAACAACAACAACAACAACAACAACAACAAGGCACAAACAAAAACTGCAGCCCCGTCAACCCATATATCTGCTTTTTGTCTGTACATTAGGTGGAGACAAAAACAGGAGCCCCGTCATGTTGTTTTACCCCCCCCCCAACAACAACAACAACAACAACAACAACAACAACAACAACAACAACAACAACAACAACAACAACAACAACAACAACAACAACAACAACAACAACAACAACAACAACAACAACAACAACAAAACAACAACAACAACAACAACAACAACAACAACAACAACAACAACAACAACCAACAACAACAACAACAACAACAACAACAACAACAACAACAACAACAACAACAACAACAACAACAACAACAACAACAACAACAACAACAACAACAACAACAACAACAACACAGTGCCTGTAGATGCCTGTGATGTATACTGTTTGGTGTGTATTTTCAATGGATTTCGTCTGTACTTCAGTGGATTTGGTGTGTATTTCACTGGATTTCGTCTGTACTTCAGTGGATTTGGTGTGTATTTCAATGGATTTCGTGTGTATTTCAGTGGATTTCGTGTGTATTTCAGTGGATTTCGCATGTATTTCAGTGGATTGCGCGTGTATTTCAATGGATTTGGTGCGGAGTTCAGTGGATTTGGTGTGTATTTCAATGGATTGTATGTATTTCAATGGATTTCGTGTGTGTTTCAATGGATTTCGTGTGTATTTCAATGGATTTGGTGTGTATTTCGATGGATTTGGTGTGTATTTCAGTGGATTTAATGTGTATTTCGGTGGATTTGGTGCGTATTTCAGTGGATTTGGTGTGTATTTTCAATGGATTTGGTGTGTATTTCAGTTCCCAGCCGTGCAGAATATACATTTGCGAGGCCTGTACAAACTACTGTATAGTAACTGGTAACTATACTTTTGAGTGTACAGGTATCCAATGCAAACCCCCTTCCAACACCCATCAGAACCCCTTCTGGATATCGCAGATTCTTATACCTGTGGTGGAAATGTGGTGTAATGTGGGCGGTTGTTGTAAAGGGGGGTGGTCAAAACAACAGACGGGGCTCCAGTTTTTGCCTCTACTACAGGGGGTAGAGACAAAGTCCTGATTTCGCTGGTGCCTTTGCCTCTACCCCGTGTAGTAGAGGCAAAAACTGGAGCCCCGTCTGTTGTTTTGACCCCCCGCTTTTACAACAACCACCCAGCCTACACCGCATTTCTATCATGGGGCAGGCATGGCTTGAACTTCCCAAAACTCTACAGGCACCCTATGCGGTCGCCGGAAGCATTCCCAATTGCTTCTAATTAACAACAAGTACGGGCTGCTGTTTTTGTCTGTACCACAAACAAGAACAGCAGCAGCAGCAGCAGCAACTGCAACTGCTACAGCAACAGCAACACCAGGAGCAAAAACTGCAACAGCAACAGCAACAACAGCAGCAACAGCAGCAAAAATGGCAACAACAGCTACCAGCACTGCCACAACTACGACATACTACTACTACTACTACTACTACTACTACTACTACTACTACTACTACGACTACTACTACTACTGCTGCTGCTGCTGCTACTACTACTACTACTACTACCACTACCACTACCACTACCAGCAACAACAGCTGACAGCACTGCCACAACTACGACATAAACCTACTACTACTACTACTACTACTACTACTACTACTACTACCACTCCTCCTCCTCCTCCTCCTCCTACTACTACTACTACTACTACTCCTACTATCACCACTACTACCACTACTACCACCACCACCACTACTACTACAGCGACGACTACTACTTTACTACAACCACTACTGCTACCGCCAGCGCTAGCGCTAGCACTAGCGCTAGCACTAGCACTACCCCTTACCACCACCACGACCACGACCACGACCACGACCACTACCACGACCACTACCACGACCACCACCACGACGACTACTACTACTAGGACACACGCTCGTACGAGGACTGATGTTTTGATGAAATTTTAAGAAGAATGCAATCTTCAGATTTGAGCACCCTTACTGCGTTTTCGGCTGTCACGAAAAGTGGAATGTGCAAAAACGTTGCGCTTAGGCTCACGAAGTGCCGAAAGTACTGGCAGGGCGTATGGTTCTTGTGCTGCGAGCGTTTGGCGCAGCTTTTTTCACAACGGAAAGCACTACTTGGACAGTATGTTGTACAAAGAAGCAAAAAATGCTGTAAATCCTGTGAAATTGGGCATGGTCGTGTGACAACTTGTCTTGCTCCACATCCTTGCGCAGTATGTTGTACAAAGAGGCGAAAATGCTGTAAATACCAGTGTTTTGGGCATGATCGCCAAAGGCAGTGACATGAACTTTATTCTCCTCCTCCCCCCAATCACACCCTCATGAGACTAAGACAACATCACCCTGCAAACATCACCACGACAGCAGCACCATGCGAGCATCACCTTCAAGCATCACCAAAAAGAACGTCATCATGCCCCCCCCAACCCCCCCCCCAGCACCAGCCCACCCGCCCCACCCCCACCCAACCACCCCTAGCGTGCAAACTAGCACGTAGAGTGAAAGTGCTGCGAATACCTGTGTTTTAGGCATGATCGTTATTATCCTCCCCCCCACCCCCCCGTCCTATCGCGCAAACTGGCTCCGAAAGGCATC